AACATTTTGTTACAAAAGCAAAATCCTCTATCTACACAATTTTGCTGGAAAATCGTTTTCATTACCATTTTTTTTGTGGCAGGTCAAATAAAGACTGGGTAAGGTACATGTGCCGATGCATGTATGTATATGTTCCGGTAAAATCCGATCTTAGGTCAAACTAGTTTTGCCCAGGCTATACTTGTTCTACCTAATGCGATGTCCAACCGAAACCAAATCTTGTGGACTGCGTAGCTTCAGTTGGACTGATGATGAGAGTTACAAAAATAGTTTATTCTAAGATCGGGTTTGGCCGGTAGCTTACAGGTATATACATGTCCGCTCATTTACTACAATACTGTCATAACTCAAAAAATCAAAACTCGAGAAAGACGGCTTTAAAGTTTTGAGTTTACATATACGCCGATACTAAAAATGAATACATATTTTATTCTAGTGAGATTCTGGTAAAGGCCTGTATGCAGCTCTCAAGAAAAGCAAAAACTCCATATAAAATGACGTACAAGAAATGGCTAAGAAATTTTCTTGAGTCAAATTTCCTTAAGGCAGTATGCAGTTCTTAAGAAATTTACTACGCTTTCTACTGCGGTTTTCTAAAGTTTTTTGTGAAGAAAGAGCATAAGGCAACCCAGGTTTGCAACAGAAATATATGCCCGTTCCATTATTTCTTGAGGAAAGAGTGAGGCAACAGGCTGTGAAGTATCAAAAAATGTCAAAATTCCTTGGACATACACGCGAAATAATGGCAATTTTTTCTTGACCGTTTTCTTGAGAGCTGCATACAGGGCTTAATCGATACAGCTATGATATTTTTACAAGAAATAGAAGAAGACATAGCGATAATTTCTGCATACTCAACTCAAAATTTGTATTTTTTGGATTATGACACTACTAAAGTAAATGAGCGATGTGTATATGTTTATTTGCCTCCACTTGGTCCGAAGATTCCCACAATTCTCTCTTACTCATATCTATTTAAGAGTTTGACCAACCATCTCTTCGATGACAGGCAAAAGCCCTGGTGCAGACAAAATACCGTACCCCGTTCTAAAAAAACATCCGTATCCCATCAAACATAGAGTCATTAAACTCCATAACTACATTTTATTTCAAGGGTTATATCATCAAGAGTGGGAAACTGCTATTATTATTCCTATTGCCAAACTAAATACGCTAATGATATTTTAATTTTTTCTAAGACTAAGGACTTGACGCAAGTAAAAATTATTTTTTCTAACATACTAAACGATCTAATCAATTGGTCCAAATCTTCAGGAGCTCAGATTTAAGCTGACAAAGTAATTTTTTCACATATGCAGAAAATACAAATAAATACATACATCCAACCCTCTCCTTGTCTAACACCCCTCCCCTATACTGATACATTGAAAATATTTGGAATGATTTTTTACAATACACCTAATTTTAAGCAGAACTGACATTATGTAAAAGTTGTTTTTGGGCTCGTAATTTATGGACACTGCGCAAAAAAACATCTCAAATTGCTAGAAACACCTTACTATGTAGCAGAGGAGAAAAAGCATCCGTGCATTTCCCACCTCGCCAATAAAAGCTATCTCTCACGTCGAATCCTGCTTTCAACAAAAAAAACTGATGTAGCAAGCAATCACCTTTATTTCGTATATTAAGCTACATCAAAGATTTCGACATCATCCGATGCTTACTAAAGTAAAAACTCTACCGCAAGGGCATTTGCCCAGTTTGATACTCATAAATTACCTGGGAGCTTATTTTCACAGACGGTTCCAGATATGGTGGTAACAAAAGGGCTGGGTGTTACAATTGTCTTCAGTGCTTTTCCGCGTACTGCTCGGCATTTACAGCCGAATCAGCTGTACGTTTCGCCTCTATAAACGAAGGAAATTTCCTCATCTGAACGGACAGTAAACCAGCCAGCGAAGCCTCTTTTAACAGTGCTAATGATTCTCATATAATTTCGAAATCACGTGAAATACTCTTTTGACACAAACACACATTTAAAATTATGTGGTTACCTGGGCACATCGGAATAGAAGGGAACGAATTTTCACACCTATGATTTCTGCATTAAAATCTTAGTTTAACATAGTATTTACGTCTAAAGAACTGACATTTTCATTATTCTGCAAAACCCTCTATCAGCAAATTTTTCTATATAAATAGTTATAATTCGAATTGCAATAACCTTTATCTGATCTTTAAACTAAAATTAAATGAATTAAAAGTAAAAAACTATTTTTAGTATATTGCGTGAATATTTAAGACATGCGTGTGTACTTAAAATTATTAACACTTTTAAAAACAGCTGCCAAAACAGTTTTTTTGCTCTCCTGAAAAATTGAGTTTTTGCAGATAGAGGATATTGAATATAAGCCCTCGATATGAAAAAAATTGTTTGCTTTCATTTTTGAAAACAGAAACGTTGTTTTCAAAGTATCAAGGAACTTTAACTACTTTATACATATGTAAAGAGTTGAAATGTTGATTACTCATTTTACTCGAAATGTTGATTAATCATAAAGCAAATTACTCAAATATTTTTGTTTTTAGTTAATCAAAAATCTTGATTACTCGAGTAACTGAACTTTTGAGTAATCATAATTTCCAATTAATCGAATAATTGAGTTATTTACTTTATGATTAATTAAAATTTTGAGTAATCAATTAATCGCACAGCCCTAGCCCTTATACATATAAGTAAAGTGTTTAAATTTACCTTGGTCCTCGTGTTTACCTTTATCTTTACACATCTTTGTTTTTGTTTTTATTTTTACCGTTGCCTTTATAATTTTCTTTATCTGTGTACGTACTCACCTTTACTTTCATTCTTGTATTGGTATTTCTAAGTGTTATCCTCTAACCTTTTATTAGCATGTTTTTGTTAAATTCATACCATATGCATACACACAAGAAGTACTTGTTTCAGCCCCAACCATTTCCGTAGCACCATTTCCGTTGCATCACTTCCGTTACATCATTTCCTTTGCATACACACAAGAAGTACTTGTTTTAGCCCCACCCATTTCCGTTGCACCATTTCCGTTGCATCATTTCCGTTGCACCATTTCCGTGTGCAATTTCCGCTGAATTTGCCAATTTACTCCCACCCAACCAACCGCCGCTAAAGAAGTTTCACTTCAAAAAATTGTTTTCTCTGCTTTCTGAGCTGACGGTTGCTGCACTAGGTTTTGACGCTCTCGTTGTCGCGTCCCTATGTTCTTTGCCTAAGTATCTGGTTTCGAGTATTTGTTTGTGTTTCGATACCTACTTAGTACTTGGTTCAAAAGTATCGATGCAAAAAATTACTTGGTATGGAACAAAAAGTATCGAGTATTTACTTGTATTTACTCGTATCGTTTCATCCCTACTCAGTGCACAATCCATTGCTAGGATGGGGGTGGTTTCCCAACCGATAACACGTTTACATACCGAGCCGATTTCTTCAAGCCAGAGGCGCGCTTGCAGCCACCTATTACCACTTAAACCGAATAAACCGGAGAATATTTTGGCGTCACAACCACGTTTTTTTTAACTTCTTCATTTATAACTAACGTGACCAACCGTACTGCTTTCGGAAGTACAGTACTTCTTTTTGAGCCGTTGTACTTCGTACTTCGAAGTACAGTCAAATGTACTTCGTTGCAATATTTTGTAATACCTTTTAAGTTGAGTTTTCTTTAACTGATTCGAAAAATTCTAAATGGTTAGTCATCTCAGTTAAAAAGGGTACTCGTAGATCAACCCATATGTAAATTATGACTGTCAATCACTTCACATCTGTAGCTGACAAATTTCATTGTAAATGACTATTCAATCAATAAAAATGTGTTTAAAGGCCGGTCTACATAGAACTTTCGCGTTGACTTTGGCGCTGGCGTTGGTTTGAAAGAACGCACGTCAAAGGTATGCTTGCTACAATGAACGCTTGGCACCGAATGCCTTGGCCACTAAATTAACATACTCACAATAGATAAATTAATATTTCATATCAATAAATTCATGAAAAAAGTATTTTTGGATTGTTCCTCCCTTCCAAGACTCGTATGGGCTAATTTTTGGAAAATAAAAGAAAGAGATTTATGATGGGAATTATGATGGGCTTTCTCATGGAAATTTAATTTGTATTCTTATAACTCCAGTCTACATACATATCGCGAACTTTCTTCAAAGGTGTACTAATTCAATATTTACCTTATCTTGTCAATTTAACTGAATGAAGTTTTTCAAATAGTATTTTCGACAGTAAACCTTCTTAAACCGCATTAATTTAACACCAGAATTGTAATATTTAAAATATTCCCGGTAGCAAACTTTCCTAAACCTCTTTATTTTTTGTGGTATGCGTTTTGATCTTATTACACAAAGGGGGGGAGGTGGTGCAGTTTTACCCGAAAAGGAAATGTATTTTATGAAAAGCTTTTAATGTCAGAGATACACTCAGATGTTGGTCATTGCCTGCGGAGGCAATTTAGATGTTGCTAAGACCAGGGATCGAACCCAGACCCTACAGAGTAGTAGCAGGCCCGAAAAGGGGGAAGGGGGCCAGGGCTTTTTAAGAGGCCCGAAATATGAGAATCATAACTTGTTATTAATTTTTTGCAATGTAACTCCCCTTCGTTATAGGCTTTTATTACAAACAAATACTTATATTCCGATTCGTGCTGATTGTTTCTGACTCCTTAAATTATATAAAATTACCATATGCGTTTAAATTAATATGATTTATGTATAGGGGCTCGTGATTTTTTAGTCCGGGGCCCAAGTATTCTCTCGACAGTACACACCTCTAAGCACTCAGCCAAAGCGGGCGGGTAGGTTATTAATTCGATAATTTGATAATTCACAGCTTCTTAAAATAAGTAACATATTAAGTACATACATACATGGTTGTGCAAGTGTGTGCAAAATAACTAGGAACGTATGCACAAACCATTGAAATAAACTACTTGTTTTAATGACAATTTAATTGAATTTATATTAAAAATTAATATATTTTCCAGACGAGAACTAATTGAGCAAAAATCACGTTACAACACGCAAATTGGGGATGCGCAGAAGAATGTGCAAAATTTGCAGAACAAAGTCGCGGAAATGCAGGCGAAAATTGGAAAACTGGAGCAAGAACTGTCGGCGAAGGCGTGGAATGTAGAGCGTAAGGAAATTAACTAAAAATGATGTTTCATGCAGATCAGGGGCGAATCCAGCGGGGAGATTTTGGGTGTTATTCTACGTGTCAGTCAGTGGCGGACCTACGGGGGGTATTTTAATATGGCGCATATGTATGTATAAAATGGTGTCTATGTATTAAAACACTCCCCATGGGTCCGCCACTGACTGACACGTAGTTTAACCCCTCTGGATCCGCCACTGATGCAGATACATACTTTTATGTACATATGTACAAACATATCTAATATTTAGTAATAACATCACAAAAATTAATATTTATCTACTTAACAATTTAAGGATTACAAGGCGAACTAAAGGCGGCGCAAATGGACGACGACTTCGTGCGAAAGCGGTTGAAATTACTTGAAGATGAAAAAACAAGTCTACGCCACAAATACAGTGAGAATGAGGACGAGTTCAGGAGAAAATATGGTAAGCTCAGTATCGTGTAAGTTAGACTGGCTACAACTGCTGATTGGATTTTTTTCTCGACAGAGGAAGTCGAAACTCAGTACAACGAATTGGAGGTGAAGTACAAAGAAACTAAACAGTTGGCCAGTAATCTACAAACACAACTCGCAGCAGCGCAATCCGAAGCAGAAGAATGGCGAAAGGAAGTTGAAAAAATACGCGGCGAATTGGAAGCACAGATCACAATATTGAAAAATGCGCTGGAGAGCTCTGAGGCGGAACGGAAAATCTGTCAGGATAAATGGCAAAAGGAATTCGAAATGTTGAGAACGCAAAACAGGGGTGGGTGTTGGACTAAACTCAAATTTGACACATATTTTCCTAAGTAATTTTTTTTTGTATGCTTATTTAGATCGGGAAGATACGCTAATGGCCGATTGTGAATGGCAGCTTCGTCAGATACATCAGCAAAATAAAGAAAAAACCGATAAAATTCAGCAAGAGCGAGAGTTGGCCTTGGAGAGAGCGGAGGAATTAGAGAATGAGTTAGAGGAGCGCAAGCAGGAAGTTGAAGGTTTAAAGGTATACCAGGCTGAGGTTAAATTGCTGCGGGGCGTTGTAACCGAACAGGAGCTAGCTATAAAATCTCTTATGCAACAAATCGATAATATCAGAGGAGAACTGCAGCAGACCAATACAAATCTGGAGGAACAAATGAAAGCCGTGAAGAAAATCAAGAATCAGTGTGATAGGTGAGCTAGTGAAAATGTGTTCAAAAGTTTGAATAATGCAAAAACAAAAATTAATTAATTACAGCGCGCTCTGTGATAAGGAACGAGAAGTAGTCAATCGTATCAATGAGGTGCGGAATCAAGCTGCCGTCTTCTGGGAGGACAAACTATAGTAAGAATATGATATGAAATATATTAAAACTATAAAACTAAATTTGCCACATTGTTTAACAGTACAGAGATGACAAGACTGAAAACTGAACTCGAATCCGTTTACGTGGACGAGCGTCGGGAAGCTCTCGAGAAGCTGCAAACTGAGCATATTGAAGAGCTTCGTGCTCTAACATCACGATACAGCTCCAACGAGGATGAGCTCAGAACTGAGGTTAGTAATTATCGGTATATTAAAGGTACATAAAGATAAGTATGAATATTGGTCTATACAGGCTATGCCACATTATGCCGGCTGCGTTTAATAGCGTTTGACTATGACAGTGGTATTAGATAAAAATGCATTAACTTGAAAGTGGTCGAGACGTGCAAACTTTAATTTCAAAGCTCATTTGTCTTGTATTTCTTTGTTCACAGCTAAACGAATCTCAACAGTTACAGCTTTTCTGGCAAGCTGGTCCTTCTTATTACGAATTTTCTTGACACAGGAACCTAAAAGGGGTATATTCAGAACAGATTTCTAACAAAATATCTGACGGTAACAAGGGGAAATGCAAGCAGCGAAAGTTTTATATATAGAATTTTCGCTTTTTTGCAAGTTTTAAAAATAGAATTTTCGGTTTTCTGAAAATGACCGCTACGTGGCAGGTGGGCGTAATTCCAATTTTAACATTTTTCAAGAGCTTGATTTACTACACTACATACATGTGCATCGAGTTTCGTAGGAATTATAAAATAAATTTTAAAGAAAAACATGTAAATAACGTGGGTGGGACCACGCCCACTTTCCAAAAATTTATAAACTATTGTTATTAGGGAGGGGCTATTGAAAACATCAACTTTGAGTAAATTAGATGTCGTTGTTACTGAAATGTCACAGCTTTTGAATTTCTGTAAATTGCCATTACCATTCGTTTTTACGTGTACCAAGTTTGGTTGAGATACATAAAGTGGTCCAAATAAATATACCGTCTGAAAGCCCTTTCGTTTCGCACCCATATGGTGATACACATTTCTCTTACCTACTGTGGTGGTGAAAAGAGGATGAATGGTGTTTCGTTTTTAATATTTAAATTTTTTTTTCAAGTTAAAATTTCTCTGTTTTTGTTTATAAAAATATGGTTCAAGCTTTAACAAAAGCCATATAAATCACACTTCCGAAGTTTATACAGACTACAAAAATTTTCATCTAAATTTCGAACTTTTTAACCAGAATTTCTATACAATTTTTGGGTGCGCAGTTAACAGGCTTATGAAATTCTAGTAAAATAAGTGCAAGTTTTGATCGGCTGAAAAATCGCATTCATTTTTAATATTTTTGTTTTTGCTGACGGCTTTTGCGGTTTTATATGACTCATGTTAAAACATGTATGTACCATAAAATACAACAAAAAATAAATTTTAGCTTGAAAAACATTGTAAATATTAAAAACGAAACACCATTCATCCACCTTGACCGCCACTGTAATTCGCTTGGTTCAAACTAAATTTAATTTTTGAAACAGGTGGCTTCTCTCCCATAGTTCAGTCAAAATATTAATCTTTTCAAAACCATTTCAGTTGATACCCATTTTGTAATAGTCGACTTATTTTTTAAAATAATGCGAGCACATTTTAAAAAGGTGGCAGCTCTGTTCGAAAAGGAAACCATATTGCACATCTGCAGTCCAAGCCTTTTAATTGGACTCCTCTTTTTAGAAAATCGAGCGAACGGTGCGGATTGATTATTAAATAATTTAAATTTGATTATTCAACAGTTGGCAACTCCTTTCGAAAAAATAGAAGCAGTTTGCTCATCTACAAGTCAAGCGTTTTAATTTGACAACTAATTTTTGAAAATCTAGCGAACGGTGCAGATCTTAAGTACTGGACAAAAACTCAGTATTTTGTTTTAGGAAATCGACCAAAGCGGCGAAAATCACAGAAAAGCACTCATTTAATGTAATGAACACGGGAGGACACCAAACTCCTCAAGTAAAGAGGACAGGTCTATATCTTCCTAAATGTATTCCTTTCAATTCGATTTAACAAGTTATACAGGCAGGTTCTGCAATTCACTTCCGAGTGAATTTCAATCAAACTCGCTTTAAATTCAGATTTGCAGGATTATTTGATTATTTGTAATTTATCTTCAGCAAAAATAGTACCAAAATAACTTCCATTGCAGCTCAACGAATTGCAGGAGCGTTTTGAACGCAAGAGCGAAGAGTTCATAGAGATGCGGGATAAATCTGACAACACCTTGCTGCAAATGCGAATGCATTTGGATCGTGCTGATCGTGAATATCAAAATGCGATGTGTCGGGAGGAAGAGCGGAGAGAAACATTGGAAGGTAGTATAAAACTGTAGAACATCCGCTCATGGAGGCTATATCCAAGACGATATTTTTATAATATGTATTCAGAAATATAAATTTTCCGAATATTTAAGTAAAATATTAGTAAAGAGATCCTATTTTCACTTTTATTTTTCCAGAAAACTTGCAAAAAGAGTTTCAAGCCGAGAGAGAAGAAATGGAGGACAAATTCCGCGAGCGTTTAAGTCAGGTAAAGGAGGAATTCGCTAAGGAGTTACAGCACGCAACACAGGAAATTCGGGAGCAGCATCGAAAGGAATTGGGTAATTACTTTATAGACGGCATTTGTTTTCTAAATATCTAACATAATAAGCTACTCATATTTATGTATGCATAATTTTTCAGAGCTACAGAAGGCCAAACTGCAAGCTGAGAAGGAGGAAGCGCTGCAGGAACTTGCAGATCGCCATCGTAAGAAACTGGCCGTTGTCGAGGAGCAAATCAAGTAAGTTGAAATATTTAGAAACTCGTTTTGCGCTTCTATTACCTACAGAATTTATTGAAATTGATCTCAGAATTAAAAAAAAATCCGTAAAAATCGTTTGCCCTTGACTGCTTCCTTGCCAGTATATTAACACTTAACTAAAGCATAATTCTTATAATGCAAATCCCCAATTGGTATCATCTTTGAATAACCGACTCTTGTTGCAATGATCTGAGCCTCAAATACTAAATCTCACAATGTCTGTAAATCTTTCATTTGGTCCTCATATATACACAGCATTACCGCTGCTTTCCAGTACTCAATAACTTTTCTTACTCAAGTAAAAAGTTTTGTAAATTACAGCATTAAATTAACTTCATTCTAAATTAGCTCGATTATTTTAAGAATAAGGGTTGGTCCAAATTAGAAGCAAATTTTCGAAAGATTTTAATATTTTATTGATTTAAAATTTATTACACCTTAAAATCGGGATTGTCGATTTGATTCTATGTTAATTTTTGGTGTAAAATTAGAGTACCATCCGTTAAATAGTTTTCGTAGAAGATTTAATTGCTGTCTTAACTTCCGAAAACACTTAAAAGCTGGATATTTGATCCCTAGTTTCTTTTTTGTAACGGATGCTTTGGCAAAATATATTAATAGAAAATATTTCTCAAGCATTATGGTAACACAGGGCGACACCGATTTTGGTCCGGCAAATGTCAAAGCTGTTTTGATAGACTTCTTTCTGCAGATTACGAGTCCGCAAGTATATACATGGTTTCCATCAGCTTGAGATTTTGAGAAAAAAGAGGTGAAATTGTCACAAATAGTGTTTTTTGCCAATATTTTAAACTTCCATTTAGGCCTAAAATAAGTCTATAACACTCGACTTCTATCCCTTAATATACCATCCCTGCGTGTGTTTTAGTTTATAAATTGTATGGTGAATAATCTTAAAGGAAAAGGCAGGAATCCTGGCAAATAGTTTTTGACTTTGGTAGTATCTTGCAAGCCTATACCTGTGATCGTATTTTCAACCAAAACCTATACAAATATGTTGGGGACTGAATCTTATTCTTCAAGTATGGCGTCTTGTGGGCTCCGTGTTAAGTTAATCGAATCCATATGAGTAAATTCTTTGAACATAAAAAGTGCTTATTTCATAAAACGGTTTTTATGGAACATTTTCCGAATTTATGGAGGTTGCAAGTTTTATCGGGAGAGTAGGGGGAGTCGGGAATGGATTTTGGTCCCGTCCTGCCTGCAAAATAACGCCCATCCCTGTCTTTCGAAATCAGCGTGGGTCCCGATATCCTGCGCCTTAGAGATACATATGTATATTAAATTCGAATCGTTTTTGTAGTGTTTTGGGTACTTACAAGGGTTTGAAAGGTGATCTAATTGTGTTATTGGTTCCAGATGAGTCTTGACATGTTTATACAACTATCTAGTGCAATATTGTTCAGTCAAAGGGCAATAATTTTCTCGTTGTGGAAAGAAGGTATGAAATCATTATAAATTATTCAGCTGACCAACAGGCATTCGTCAAAAAACGGCCTGGAAAGTTGCATGATCGTCCGTTATTACAACAGCATAATGCAAGACCACACACCGCGAGAAAAACGAAGGATGTTTTGAACGATTTACGATGGGAATTGCTTTCGCTTTGAAAGCGCTTTTCGATTTGAAAGCTTAACTGACGTAAAACTTGCTATAGATAGGTGGAGCAGGCACCGAAAGCAGAAATTAGTTTATCGTTGAGATAAATGTATTCAGCTAAATGGAGATTATGTTGTAAAACTACATTTTAATATTGACGAAAATTAAATTCCCAGATCTTTAGAAACATCCCTCGCATAGTATTACAAATCGACTTGTTTAGAACTATTGTCAACTGTATCAAGACTAGTCCAGCCCGGTCATACTTAAATATTTAAATAAGTAATTACTAATATTTGGACCACACTTTAAATTTAACTACAACACTAATTGTAATGACATTTTTTTCTAAATCAATGCAAACATGTAACATTTGTACCTATGTATGTACTTTCTCAACAGCATTACGTATGCGAATCGTGATGTCCTGGTGAATGATGAGACATTTTCATCATCAACATCGTCACCATCATTGCTAATTCTCACTGCCTTGTGTGTGCTTGCGAAGCGGTCGTGTCCATATATTGTGCCATCAATGTTTGTGCTTTATCTGACCATGTCGCCATTAATTACGTTGGCATGCTTAGTGTTGAACATAATTGCTGTTGTATTTATAAGATATCGCTATTTGTTAAATTCAAAATGAGTTTTGCCTATAAATATAATGCAACTTTGTCAATAAGATTCAATTAATAAATACTAGATGGAAATCCAGCTGCCACTGAGAGCATTTAGTTAATTTAATGATGAAAGTCAATTTAGAAAAAAATATAACGCTGTTGAAATGTATGTATAAAGGCTCAAACTGACATTTTTTTTTATCTAATAAAACATATCGACGGCTGAGTAGCAGAACGAACCGCTCTACCTCAGAAAAATTTTCCAGAACGCCTTATTTCAGAATTTTCTTTAGGAACGATTTGATTGAAAAATGCCCTTTTTCGGAATTCGTTTCAACTTTTTTTTTCAATTAAGTTACGGTATTTTGAACTTAACTCTGAGATAGGATCAAATTCTGAGATAGAGCGTTCTTGAAAAATTTTCTGAGATAGGGCGTTTTCGAACCGGCTGCCGAGATAGGTAGATCTTCCACTCAGCCGGTGATATCCTCCCTAAAAATTTGCGTTCCCTAATATAAAGACCAACGAACCAACAAAATTCTCTGTGTTGACGTTTACGTTTTTACTTCTGCTGTTAAAAATAAAAAAAATGTCAATAAGGGCCTTTCTACATTTCAGCAATGATAAGTGCGTATATATTTTCTTTCTGTAACCTTTTGAAATAATACACTACTATTATGCATTTACTGCAGTTCCTCTTTAAATTCCCTGCCATCACCTTCTGCACAGATAGCCATATTTATTGCCTGCTTTCAGTTTTTCTCAGTAGATGCTTTTATTCTTAAGAATTTACCCGACTTTGTTTCGGCGAATGAACTGCTCTACTGGTAATTCTGAACAAAAAATTGCATAAATTCCAGGGAAGTATAGTTCTAAAATAGATTTCCAACCTCCTTATTTTTAAGTTTAGCTACTGATTCCTAACCAATTTCTTGTTTATATTTAGTAAATTTTTTTTTTGCCAATATATAATGTACATAAGGCGATTTTGCCTACGATCAATTGGACGATTTTTGCAAAGCAAAGAGTTTATCACTATCCGAATTAATTTTGTGTTATGTCACTTTAACGAATGCTCGGAAACAATTTTGTTGCGGTAAATGTTAAAGCTCCGCAGGTACCTATAAAGTTTCCATCACCTCAAGAGGTTTGGTTAAGCATACATTAACTCTCGACTACACCCGCGAATACCCTTACACCCTGACCTGAAGGTCACCAACATATATAAAACTTTCAGGACTAATTGTTGAAAATTTAAACGTTAATTGAATTTAAAGTAGAAAATTCTATCACCTTGTGTTTTATTGCGGTAGGTACTCAAACTTCGCCAATATCAGTATTTCCTATCCAGTCCAGGCGTTAAATTGAGTTGTAAACTCTATCACCCCTTGAGCTCCTCAAATATTGCCTAAAGCGCCATTTTTTGACACTTTGACCCCGTTTTTCCCAAAATCTGGAGCTCATGGAAACTTTATACCCATGGACTCGTTATCAACACAAAAAATTTATCAAATATAGTTTTAGCATTGGTCGCACCAAACTTAATGTTGCCCTGTGTAATTAGATGATGATGCATGGTAGAATGTGGAAGCCCCGAACAAAATTATTTATGTTAGAAATTTAATTGATTCAACCATATTAAAAAAAAAATGGTGACAACATGTTATGTTTCCATCAAGGAATTTTTAAACAGCTTTCATCTGACAAAAATTTATTTCAGTGGAAACCGTTTTTAAAAATATCTGGGTCAAAGAGTTGTTTAAAAATTCGTCTGAAAATTAATTGAGTTTAATTTGATAATAATAATAGATAATAAAAATAGATTGCCGCTTGCACATATGTTAGTGTTTGGCCGAGCTTCTCCTCCGATTTGTGGCGTTTGCCTTGATGTTGTCACACAAAGCGGAGGGACCTACAGTTTTACGCCGACTCCGAATTGTATTTTTATGAGAAGCTGTTTTTCATGGCAGAAATACACTCGGAGGTTTGCCATTGCCTGCCGAATGGTGACTGCTGTTAAGAAAAACCCTTTTTTCTAAATTTCTTTGCGATGTTGCCTTGACCAGGGCTTGAACCCAGGCGCTGCACAGTGGAAGCACGCACTGCTTACCACACTAGCGGCCGCTGTTTCATAGACGAATAAATAAATAAATTTATTTTATCATATGAATTTATTTAAATTCTTTAAACAGGTGGCAACCGTCTTTAAGAATATTCTCCAAACTAAGCTTTCTAAACCACTTTAGTTTGATACCCATATTGCAACATTTCATTTACCTTATCAGTTTAATTTAATTAAAAAATTTAAACAGGTGGCAACCCTAGTTTGATACCTACTTTGTAATAATATGATATTTATCTCATAAATTTAATCGAATTGAAGTAGGGTAAAAAAATATTAAATTAGTTATGGATTAACAACTAAAATAAAAAATAAGGACAAAGAATTGCCAGTAGAATACATCAGTCACCGAAGCAAAAAAGAGAAAAAATTTGACTCGCTGTAATGCACATATATGTATGTATGCATCTTAAAATTTCGTTATTGTAGAGTGCGATTTTAGTTCAGAGCTTTTGCTATATACATACATAAGACGGAAAAAGTCGAACGACCGTGAGTCTCAGTGTCTCAATATTTGAATGGCCTCGTAAGGCTCGGAGAGGTCCCTCCCAATTCGGATGCCGCGGCGTTCACATCATTTGATTCCTGTCTTATTTTATGATATAAATTTCGAGCCGTATTCCTCTGACATAAGGAGTCTCTGCAAGAAAGAGAAGATTTGGCTCTTCAGATTTTTTGACTGGACACTGTTTTAATATGGCGGGCCCCAAAGCCGGCGCACAACCCATTGCATCCAGTTTTTGTCATCGTTTTCTTCTAAAACTCTCTATCTCTAAAAGTTTATTCAATAACGTTTAAATTTAGACCGAAGGTTGTCTCTGTGTCGTACGTTACTTAGTCGCATTAGTTTTGCGGAGATCCCACATTTAAAAAGTAATCATGTCAAACCTCCAAAAAACATGTTTAGCTGCACAATTTTTTTGGATAGCAAATAAGATATGTGAGTTTAGCTAATACCATACCTCCTAAGACGACGGGAAGGTAATGTTTTCATCACTTCTGAAGTCAAAAATGTATGACTGTACCATTTGTTTTCTAACACTTGACGATTTTAGTTGTTACGAAACTAACACTTCCTAACATAAAACTTATTTTTATATCCTTACTGTACTTACCGCAAAAAACGTTTCCAAATTTTTCGCTAATACACAAACTAAAAACCCAACCAAACCACAAACCGCTACAGGGAAATTGAAATTCGACATCAACACGATCTGAAGGATCTTAAGGCGGCATATGATTCAGAGAAAGCAGCTATGGACAAACGGGACATAAGCAATACAAACGAAATTGAGCAGCTCCATAGGAAGTGTCGGTGCTTGACAAATCTGTAAGTATTTTTTTTTTGTCAATAAATACAAGTACATATATTACAAAAATCCAATAAAAAAGCCTATACAAAAATTTTATTTAGTAAACGAACAAGCTTTAAAGGTACCGTGTACCAGACATTTTAGGTATTCATAGAAGCATTTTCGAAATTCGCTTTCGTTTGTTGTGCTACCAAAGCTTTAGTGGTCCTTGTAATGCATGATTCCTTAAAGCAAAATGAGAGTAGATGTTGTAAATGAATTGGCTCCAACTAAACATTAAATAAGTTAATCATCCGTGCATATGTCTGAACTTATACTTTTATTTTTAAATGACAGTTACTTATTAAATTAACCTTCCACCACTTCTCCACCATTCTTTCAGTTTTGAAGAGATGCGCATGCGCTATGAACGCCGTGATCCTCGCCCGGAGGATCTGCGTGAAATCGATGAACTGCGTACCCGCTGTGAGTCCCAGGAGCGCGATCTGTTCGACCTAACCGATCGGCTGCGTGAAATGCAAATCCAAATGACAGCTATGCAAGCGGCTAACGGCGATGCGGCCAAGAAGGACCTGAAACAGGTGAAAAAGCCGCCACCGAAAACGATACCAACAAATTGTGACGTCATCTATGAAGATGAAAACGAAGAACGGGAATCACCACCTCCACAAACATCCCCCGTAAATAACCATGCGAACGCTGAAGACGAGGAACAAGACGAGGAGGAGGAGGAGGAGGAGGAGGAGGAGGAAGAGGAGGAAGGAAGTGACGATGAGGAAGAAGAAGTTGTGGAAACAGCAGAGAAAGCTTTCGAGGAGTTCAGAGTTGCGAAAACTCAATCGCGTGTATTAGGTGGCAACAAATCAAAAACTGCCAATCTCATCATATCAGGCAAAGAGCACAGCAAAAAGAATAACAACACAATTAATGAGGATGACGAGAGTCATATGATTACAGCAGTGTAATAGCCAAGCTGTAAAATGCTGAGATTTAATATTTCCTCTGCTACTCATTTGAAAAACGTTTAACCAAATTGACTACCTACACATGCGCACACGCCCCACACACAAGCGCATTACTCATTTTTGTTTTGTTATTGGTTGACTTTTATTGAATTTACAACTTACTTTATTCATATACATAGTTAGAAATTGTTGCTTAGCTATACATATTATTTTCATCGCATTGGCAAAAAAACACAAACTCATACGTACATATGAATACATATGTATGTGCATAAGTTTATAGTTTGTATCTATGCAACTTTGTGCCTTTTAATTAAAAAATCATTAAGAAACAACACCCCAGTGCCCCGAAATTTATAATACCAAACGATAAATTAAAAAAGCGAAACCGTTTAATAAATACAAATTGTGAACTTAAATTAAGTGCAAAAAAATTGCAAAATTTTCAAATAATTTTTGAAATAAATACGTATTACTTTAAATTAATTAAAATGTGTATGTGTTTGTTAATTTTGTTGGATACTCATATAAACCTTTTGTAACCCAACTTTTTCCCTGGATTGCACGGCAATCACTACAATCTGTGGACTGCACTCAACCACCTCTGACGGTGCCATTGGAATACTAAAGGGGACGAAACTAAAAAAAAACTGGGCCAGAGGCCAGTGTCTCCCCCAGCTTATATTTCCATAGGAGACCCGGACCTGCCGGATCTTCGTCAGGTGGAATCTGAATTACCTCCGGAATCTGAGTCGGCCAACACCGTGATCCCTGATACCATGGGTGTCTGCTTTAGAATTTCTGGGCATTCAGGTTTTGTTTAGGTTGATCCTGTCAACAAATTTTTTACAGCACATCAACTGGCACAGATGCAAGAGGCAAAAACAAACGTCGCTGTTGAGAACACCAGTTCGAAAGGTGCATTTCTCAAGCTTCCTGTCGTTTGCTCGAATTCTCAAATAGCGACATGGTTAAAATTAAATCATAAATATCAAGCCTAGGTGTGGCCTGGGCGTTAGTTCAGTGGAGGAGAATGAGTTCCCTCGAACTCATGTGATCCGGGGCTATATCCCCATAGTGTCCAGTTCAGCTCGAGAAAATCCTGAGCCCTGCAAAGGAGCTGTAGAGTACTGAGACGGTGAAACCAACAGAAGTCTCGGCATAAAGCCACCGCGCAGGAAAATAGGTACTGGATCTAACTCTGTGCAGAATGCCTATTGCTGAACTTGTCAGAGATTGGAAAGTTTCGGATGAAGCATCACTCTCGAACTCCATCATATAAGGTTTGATAACGCAGGGTGATCCGAGCTCCATAATTTGATTTTCCCGCCAAAAAACCAACTTGAATCTTTCCAAAAATTTAGTCGTTGCTATGTAGAGCAGACTCGTTGTTAACTTCCATAAAGTCTGCCGATGAATTGGACTCCTTTCATGACAGCACAGCTCCGGGTTCTTAATTAGAGAATCATAGGGCTCACTTTCGGAACGGGGATTTGGATGCAGGAAGCATTTCAACAGCGCACAGGCTCTCAGTAACTCGTAAGACGCTCTAGAGGAAACGTTCATATAAAAAAGTCAGCCAATAGAGACGCTGCCTGAAGCTCCCGCCTACACAAAATTCTTTCATAAAAAGGCAATATGGCACTTACATGAACAACAACCGCGAAATTCTAAAATAACTGCTCCAGATTTATTGCCCTGGTTCTTCGGTGGAACGAGGTGGGTACACAGCTATCTCTCCGGAACATAGGTTCCGCAGGGTTAAAAGCCTAGGCAGGTCTATTTCCATTTTTGACACGGACAAGGAAGTATGGTCATTAAATTGTTTTGAACCTTTCAAAGCTACAGGCGGCCATTTCACATATACATTGATGTTATCATCGATTCAGGGGTATGCGTATTATTTATTCCTAAATTGGACAACCGGTTACAAGACTCACCTTAATCATGCAGACTTATTGTCTTAATTCTCTTCATCTTTGAAAGACTGCTATACCTACATATAAGGGATAAGCTGAGATACGGAAATACATTACACAACACTCGGTTTGCGTATGTCAAAGGAAAATCGACAGACTCAGTTCCTGGTTAGTAAGATTGAAACGGCCCTCGATTTTAAGGAGGTTGCTCTATTCCTACTGTTTGGTAAATTTACACCTTCCTTAATTATCGCAATATCAAATCGTCCCAAGGCAACAGTTTCGTGAATATCAGAGCCATAAGAGGATGCCCACAAGGAGGTGTGCTTTCTTTTATACTCTGGTCTCTGGCGGAGGATGACCTCTTAACCAAGCTATAGGAACGTCGTTACGTTGCTGTTGGGTACGCGGACAACCCGGCACTTATTATTACGGGAAAGTTCGGCTATTCTCTATCAGACGGTATGAGTGCAGTTCTGGAGAAGAAATGCTTAAATACTCTCACGAATTCCAATTTCTTGGAGCTAGGCTTGATACGAGCTTAATTAAGGCTTCTAATCTCGCCAAAACTCATTTGAGAAAGTCATCCAGGTCATGTGGGCCTGTTGAAAACTTTTTGGTCGAATACGGCTTTGAACTCCAATTTGAATGGACCGCACTATAACCCATCCGAATGTAACTTAAGCCTCCATAGTCTGGTTGGCAAAGATGTTGCAAAAAACTATCATTTCACGCCATGACAAACCCAAAGCGCTTGCTCTAATCTCGGTTACAGGATCAATGAGAACCTGTTCATCCGCGGCCTTGAAATCACTACTGGGCTGGACCCCACACCATTTTTTTTTCCCAAGCAGTAGCAACTTGGAGGGATTTGCAATTGAAAATATATGAAAGTACTTTTTGTAAGAAGACACACCGGATCAAAGATCTCTATCAAGATCTAGTGCGGATATTTTTTGATTTGGCACCAAACTTTCTATTGCAATTTCAACTTGTGCCAGATTGAATCTTCAAAAGAGTTTGAAAGTCACCTTTATAGCTTTGGGTGCAATGACAACGGTATTTCAATCGGAAGTCTGTGCAAACTGAAAGTGGCAGACTGGATAACTGGCGAAAGGTGGCGCGGAGATAAAATCAGGATCTGCAGTGACAGCCAAGCTGCTCCAAAGGCCCTGGAAATCGCTCGAACCTCTTTAAAGTTAGTCCAGGAATTTAAGTTGAGGCCGAACTCCGTTACAAGATGGAATAAGCTTGAACTTGTGTGGGTGCCAGGACACTCTGGAGTTCAAGGTAACGAACTGGATGATTTAATGTGTATATCGTGTTTGGAGGACAAGGATAGTACATAACATTTTCTCTGCCGCTGTCCGGCCTTCGCCAGACTCAGATGGTGCATTTTTGGGTCGGATGTACTGAGAATGGACGACGTACATTCTCTTTCTCTCAATAAACTGCTAAAATTCATAAAGGAGTCTGGTAAGTTTGCAGAGGAGCAATGAATTTCCACCCCACCTACATATCCCTTTCCTCTAAATCCAGTCTCTTGGCCTTACGTACAATAGGCAATATGCCAGAGTGCTTGGAAAAAATTGTTTTTAGTTTTTACTGCCGCCCACAATTCCATTCCTCCTTTCTAGTTATCTTTTCAGATGGAGCGATCACCTCCGGGCTCGTCAAGGAGTGCTTTCACACTCTCCAAATCTTGGTAGCAAGGAACGAGGTACTAATGTGCCACTACCAAAAAACTGAAGTACTTTTGGGACCGGAATCATTCTGTGAACTCAGTTGGTCTTCCTCGAAGCATATGTATTGAAACTCAGAACGCATTTATTAGTAGCGAGGGGGTGGAGGCATATGATAACTGGAGTAAAAATTGAGAAAATTTAACAAAACTTTACGCGTCTGATGCTTTAACATGCGAGTCCGGCTGGAGTAACATATCTCACCAAGATGCTCATTATTTCAATGGGTACTCTCATTATTCCCGATACCATCTGACCCCAGCGAAGCATCAGCATGTCTTCCGTAAAGGGCACAGCACAACAACACCACTCAATACCAGAAACACTCATATGCCTCGCGGCCTTAACCATAACCCCAGTGAGAGAACAGTCCTTTCGAGACGAAACATCAAAACCTAGAAGATTTATGCAAGAGGTTCCACAGAGTGGTGTCCTCTCCCCTGACTCATACACTGACGACTGTTTGATATTGGCGACCGGAAATGGATTGCTGCTCTAGCTGACAGCACAAGTTGCCTTAAAAAGCTTCTGGCGTAAACAGATCTCCTTGAACCAAAGCCCATAACACGGAAAAGATGGCGAAGGGTTTTCTTCAAGCCATGGATAAGAAAAGACATGGTTTCAGAATGTTCAAACAGGAATGTTCCTTGAGAGGAAAATAAATGCTCCTTTTATGAATTTAAAGGAGAAAAAAATATTTAATGGTGGCTATGATTTTAAAACCAAACGAATGAAAATTATGAACATTTTGTATGTTCCAAACTGCTAGAGTCGATTGTGTGAAACCATTCGCAGTTCATATTGCATGCCCTTAAAGCCATGGAAGTATTGAATTTGATGGCTGAAACAATTTCAGATGTGAAGGGTATTAAAAAGCACAAGGAACCGCTTGAATTAATTTGTTGGCTTGTATATTGATCAAAACCCTAAACAACCCGCTGTGGCGCTATCACTCCGCAGCGTCTGGGTTCAAGCCCTGATCAAAGCAACATCGAAACAAATTTAGAAAAAAGGTATTTTCTTAACAGCGGTAACAGCTCAGGGGCAGGCAATGGCAAACCTCCGAGTGTTTTTTTTTTGCCGTGCGAAACAGCTTCTCACAAAAATACAATCGCCGTTCGGAGTCGGCGTAAAACTATAGGTCCCTCCCCTTTGTGTGACAACATCAATGCGCACGCAACAAATCGGAGGAGAAACTCGGCCAAACTCTAACATATCTCACACCTAGACCAAAGTGAGCTAACTCAAAATTCATAGAGGGAAATTTAACTGCTTGTGGATCGTACAGATTTAACGCAATTAATACAAAAATAGGTATAACAGTAGTTTTTTAGTTGATGTATATAATCGTGAAGAAAAATGTATTGCCATTAATTGAATGTAAGTGCTATGAACTACATCGGCGATTTTTTTTCTTTTCTTATTATTAGGGTAACTGACTCACCGGATTCAGCCATTTTTTGTGAATATTTGTATATAGGCGGGTTTTCGAAATCTTGATTTTCGGAATATCTAATAAACTGGATTTTTTCATCGAACAAACCGTTTTTTTTTTATTCCATACAAATTTTGACCTCTCAAAAAAATTTCCAGTTTTTCGAAGTTTTCCAGGCTATATCCAGTCTAAGGGAAACCCTTAGTAGTTTAAAATTATTTCCAAGGTTATTTGGGCATGAACATATCGCACACCGTCTTCAAAAGAGTCACAACTCAAAATTTGGCATTTTTGAAATTATACGCTAAAAATTTACACAGAGCTTTTATTTACCTTTCAGAAAAAG